CCCATCCTGCTGCCCGCACATCCCATCCTGCTGCCTGCACACGCCATCCTGCTGACGACCAAGCCTGGGGAGGGAGGATGGGCTGGGACCCTCGGTTTAAGGAGGCTGCACTCACGATGTCTGAGTGGAAGGGCTTCGCGTTGGCTGTGCGGCTGGAGCTGCTCGTGAGGGACCAGACCTTGGTTTTGTGCTTGAAGGCGGCTCTCACCTTAAAAGCAGGGAAGGGATCACAAGAAGCAATTTCAGAGGCTGCAACAGCCGTAACCAGAGGAGTCTGTGCCAGTGCAACCCCGGAAGCAGATGTGCGGGGAAGGTTGGGATTTGGAAATAACGGAGTCGGAGCTAGTGGCTCCACAGCTGAGCTGTGCATCGCTGCTCTGTGTGGCAGACCCAGGTTGTGCCGCAGGCCAGGGAAGCTGGGTCTGGAGTGGACTCTGCTGGGCTCCTCACACACAGCAGTGAATGTCCCGGGGTGAGTGTGAGAGAGAAGCAAATAAATAAAAATGCGTGGCGGGCGGCTGGGTGGACTTCCATGGCTGCACTGCCTTCCTGCCACCCCGATCCACCTCAGGCCTTGCAAGGGGTCACTGGGCGTTGTGATCATGCAGCCCTTCTGCCCGGTCACCATCCTGCTCAGCGACTCTCTGCTCTGCCCTCCTCGGCCCACTTGGCCTGTCCTTGCAAACGGACACTGCCACTGAGAGAGACCAGGCAGGGTGACCCCTCTGCCCTGGCCCATTCCCCACCCCAAGGCAGCTCCCACAACCTCAGCCTGGCAGGGGCTCAAAGCTGATTTGGGAAAAGTTCTCCCACAGGAACAGAAGTCCTTGGGGCAGCCCCTGCTTTCCCCCAGCCAAGTACATGGCAGGTGCCAGGCTCAGAGCAGCACCGAGAATGAGCCTGTGCTGGCTGCCCCAGTCCAAGGAAGCCACATCACAAAAGTCCCCTTCCCAGCTCCCATGGACAGCAGTCCTCCCTCTCACAGCCAGGCCAGCTTCCCCAAGGCCTTGAGGAAGACTTTGGGGAACACGCCTGCATTTCCCCAGGATGCAGTCGCGACTTCTCCAGGGAGAGAAGATGCTTGTCCATCGCTTAGCAACGAGGCAGGGAGAGAAGAGTTGCCGAGCAGCAGGCCCAGGGCACACAACTTGTCATCAGGAACACAGCTGGCTCAGGATTTGAGTCCCAGACACCACCCTGATAGGGCAACGCTATTCCCACTCCTGTGACCTTTCAGAAAGGAAAAGCCAGCTTCATACTGCTAGGAAGTAGAGTGGACGTACCTCTGAATTCAGGAGACAATGGAAGAGGAAGATGAACAGTCCCTGGGAAGGGAGGGAAGAAACGGAGATTAGAGCCCTTTGCATGTAGTTAGGAACACTGTCTGGAGGTTCCTCCCATGCAGCCTGAGAGTGACACTGGCACCGCACGCTGTGACACCAGGTCCCATGACCTGGGGCCTGTGAGGACGGAGGGGCGTCCTGGGTCCCACCCTGTGATCCAACCTAGATTTGGGCAGCTGCTTGGACCGAGTTCAGAGCAGGGGGGCTGCGTGGGCAAAGGTGCAACGGCAGGTGGGTTCCCAGGCAGGCTCAGTGCGGGGCAAGGGCAGGCACTTCCGGAAGACGTGCCACCGGCCTGCAGACACAGACACAACTCGAGTAGCCTCGGGAGGGCCGGGAGGGCCATGGATGGTGAAGGGGACCCATGCCTGCCCTCCCTTGCAGGCCCATGGGTCTGAGGGCCCTGACCCTTGGCATCCCAAGTCTTTGGTTCCCAGGTGACCCTCCCCGGCCCTTCACACAGAGGGCAGCACCTGAGGACTGCCCTGGCCACCTCTTTGCCTGATTCTCTTTCCAGAGCTGCCACAGGCTGACTCTCTTACTGTCCCTCCATTCCCAGCCAGGACGTGCCAACTACAGATGCCGGCCAGAAGCACAGGCAGCCCCACCCTGAAGGGGTCAGGATCTTGCAGGCCCTGCTTTCTGAGAGTCCTCGGCCTTTGGGGATGCCCTGCATTACAGGCTCCTGAGGTATGGCAGGGAGGGCAGGCCTCCCTCCAGCCCTAGCTCCCTGCACGCCTGCTCCTGACGGCTGGTGGCCCCACCTCCCTGCCACTCCCCGTGGGCTCTCACCTGCAGGGAGTTGAGTATGGCAAACATGTACTGGAAAACCACAGCACAGCCGTTGACAGCAAGCACGCCAAAGACCCACGAGGTGCCCAGGATGGGCAGCAGCACGGCCACTGCCTTGGCTGTCAACCTGGAGAGAAACAGTGACAGTCATCCTGAGCAGCAGGAGGACAGGTGCAGGCTGTGAGGACTGCCCTCAAGACGCCAGGCTTCCAGATGGGTGTAGGCACCACCCTGCTGGGAGCAAGACCTGGGGTCCTCCCTGCAGGTAGCCTTGGGTGAGGCGTTTACCTGGAAGGAGCTTCGGTGTTTCCACACCTCCATCCCCTTACAGCTGGTGGGTGGGAGAGAGCTCTGGAAAAGTTCAGATAGCACCCCGGGCTCACCCAGGCCACAGGGAGACTCTGCCCAGGCCCAGGGCTTGCATTTGAGCTGTTTGCAAAGATGAGGAGGAGGAGCCAGGCCAGAGGGAAGAGGTTCGGGGGACTGAAGCAGCAGCAGGTCCCTGAAGCATCCAGAACCCAGAGGCCTCCTATGAGACGCTTGGAAGGGGGCAATGAGGCCTGGGCCTGAAATGAGGCCATGGCCAGGAAGAATTCTCCAGGCCTCTCTGGGCTGCAGCCCACGTGTCCCCCGCTGATCACCCAAACCCTCCTGTGACACTGACAGTGAGTTCTCAGAGGGCAGGACCGACTGACCGTCTTCATGGCCCTGGTCATGCTCAAAGGACGTGCTGAACAAAGGCTTGCTGAACTGCGCTGTGAACTGACAGAGCCCCATCCCCGAACACACCCCCTACCAGCATGCGTTTTTATCTCCTTAGAGCCCCACGGGCCCTCAACACAGGACAGGCAGGTTATATATTGACCCCATTCATTTTCTAATAAGAAAACTGAGGCCCCACAGTCCCTGGTAATAGCTAAGGTGATAGAGGGTTTCATCAGGGGCAGAACCAGAGGGTATGCAGACGTCCCCACCTGGGCCAGAGTTAGCACCCACTCTGACTGGGCCCACCAGCTGTCTGCCTCAAAGCCATTCCTGATGTGCTGTGTCAGTCATGGCCAGCTAACTCCAGTCCAGTCCATCCTGACTTCTGAAACAGCTAGGCCTTCCACAGCAGGGACCTTCTGCCTTTGAGCTTTAGAGAAAAGTCTAGAGACTAGTCTAGAGTTCCTGCTGCCCAGGTCAGCCACTGTCACATGCCTCAGTTTACCCCTCATCACTCCGCCCAGTGACTGAGACTGTCACCCTCACAGACTGTGGATTCCGTAAAGGCTGGAACTTGGTCTTTTGTCTCTGTAACCCCTAAGTGCATCCCAGCGCCAGGACTCAGAGGCTCTCAGGAGATAAACACTGAATGAATGAATGGTGAACAAATGGACAGCCATGCAGCAGTGCTGCACACGGATCTGGCACCTCCCTGGAGGAGGTGAGACGCGGCCATAATGAGCTCCCTTGTCAAGAGCCCCAGAACCTGGCACTGACAGCTCCTGGCAATGGGTGCCTATAAAACCCAGAAGTGTTCCAGCACTTCAGATCTCAGAGAAGCTGCAGCCAGCTTGTTCTCATACACTAACGCAGTAAAAATAAAACACCTGTCTCTGAGAAACAAAGATATCATGCATTATTCAGCTACAATCTTTACATCCCGGGAAACCATATTTGAAAGGAAAGGTCACCGAGAAATAGGTACCAAAATGTGCTACTTTGAAAGTGATGGTTTGACTTTTCTTAAAATGAACAATAAAAGAAGATATTGGGGGAAGACGCCGAGCTGAAGCTCTGAGGCGTCTCAACACGGCCAGAGCTGTCAGTGTCCCTGGTCAAAAGCAGGAAGGGGTCCCTGGACCTGGAGGAGGCTCTGGGCAGGGGGTGTGATTTCCTCTCTGATCTATGACCCCCTTCTGCTCCCCTAAGGTCAGCCCTGGCCTGGGGGGCTCAGGCCGAGTCTCCGGCCCCCATAGTCACCTACTCACAGGTGCACCTCCGTGGGGGTCTCACCCTCACGCCCCCGCCCCCAGGGTCCCTCTTGTAAAACCTGACCATTCCCTGCTTCTTTTTCAGGAGTCTGAAATCACAGTCAATAAACAGAGACTTTTAAAAAGTGAAACCAGACTTCTCTCCGTTCTCAGACCTCACCTGTTCTATTCTCCACTTTTCTTGTGTGTGGCGGGGCGGGGTGCGGGTTGTGGGGGAGTGTAAGCCAACCCTGTGGAGAGCCCTGAGGAAGAATCTTATCTCGTTATTCACTGAGTACTGGGCTGCTTGGCACAAAGAAAATCACTAGAGTAAAACCAGAGGATGAGGAATAGGAAGGTGCTGAGGAGACTTCCTCACGATGTCGTGACTGCCCTCTTCCTGCCTGGCGCTGCGGCTCCCTGGCTCTGCTTCCTCAGCCCTGGGAGTCCAGTGTTACACAATCCACACTAAGACTGTGAGGAAGCATCCCCCGGGGGCAGACCTGGCTGCCCAAAGGAGAGGAGCTGAAGGCACTGGGGAATGTGCTGGGTTGCACAATGGAGAGGGACCCAGACAGGTCTGTCCCCAGAGACGCCTGCCTGCACCTCCCTGGGAGGGACGCATCCCTGGGCTGCCAGGTGCAGAGTCAGGTGGGAACGGTGGGCAGTGCCTTCAGCTGTGCCCTGCAAAGACCTGGGCATGCTCTCCCGGGGCACGCTACCTTGAGCTTTCACAAGAGCTGCAGACACAGTGCCAGCCTGTCGCTTGGAGGACATTTCCATGGAGAAGCAAAGGCAGTGGACAGAAGCTGCTTCCTGGATGGGCACTGCTGGGAGGCTGGGGGCAGTGGGGTAGAGATGGAAGTTGGTGCACAGGTATGAGGCAGGTACACGGGGGTGTTCTGCTGACAGTGGGCGTAGTGAGTAGTGGTCTCATCGGGCTCAGACAGAGGAGCGTGAGCTTTTGCTTGAGACAAGCTGGCAACAGATTGGCCGACCCTGAACGCTGAGGTGAGGGCCTGGGGAGCTGAGGGCTGGGGTGAGGAAGGGACAGGTCCCTCCCCGGCCAGGCCACGAGGGGTCCAGGAGACCAGCCTGGTCTCAGCAATGGAAGAAGAAAGGACATGATCTCTGACCCCACAAGCTTCTCTTCTCGCACGGGGCACAGCCCGTGAAGGTTTGCAGGAGCTGAACAGCCCGAGGAGGCTGCAGCCTCTTGTCAGGTTAATTTATGGTGTTTGGAATTCATTACGGACTAATTCTCTCATAGATTCACTGCTGACATATTTACCACTTTTGCTTTCACATCAGAAAAGATATACGGTGGCTGAAGTAACATTACGGAACGTCAGCTGCCTGGTACCCATATCCTATTCTTCACAAAGCCCCCAAATTCCCTGTGAGGGACCGCCTCCCCAGCTTTCTGGCCCTGTGGTTTGGGGGTGCTGACTGAACAGTCACACAGTCATATGAGTGAATCCCCTCTACAGGGTCTGGCTCACGGAGGGCACAGGCCCAGCCTGAGTCCCCCTCCTCCTCCAGGCGCAGGCCTCTGTCTGAGCAGGTGGGACAGGGACTCCCCCGTGGGCCTGAACCCCTGCCACAGCCATTCTGCCACCAGGGGGCAGAGTTGACCTCAGCCTGAAGCTAACACGGAGGATGCGAAGGAGAAGCTGGGCCCCGGTGCTGCAATTACCAAACAATTCCTGCCACGCCTAGACTTCTGAGCTCTGGACTTTACAGTCACCTGCGTCCGTCAGTCCCCCTTCTGTAAGGCCAGCGCATGCTGGGATTTCTGTCACCTGCAACTGGCTGGGCCCTAACAGATGCTGTCAGGACACCCCGATGGCAGTGAGTTGTGTGGCTGGAATCCCTCCCAGAGACCCCCGCCCCTTCTCCAGGTGGGCAGCCCAGAGCACGCCAGGACACTACTCTCCCTTGGACTTTCCCTGATGCGCCAGCCGAGGCGGAACCTGCTATCCCGTTCTGCACGTGAGGAAGGTGAGGTGCTGAGAGGCTAAAGAACTCGCTGAGTCCAGCGGATGGCCAGGGCAGAGGCAGGATTGGCAGGGGCTCTCTGGCTCTAGAATCTTCCCCGTTGCCGCCCCCCGGCCCCAGCTGCTCATCACCCTGCGGTGAAGAAATCCCTACGAGAACATCCGGAGACCCTGTTCTTCTACACATGGGAGCTCTGGGGCTGGGTAAAGGCCTTGTCCTGGGTCATGAGAGCCACACGAGGGCATGAAGCCAGAGCTGCCCCAAGATCGCAGGGACACCGAGCAAGTGGAGGGCTTTGGTGCCGGCCACAGGAGGCAGGAGTGGCTATCTCTCCTGTGACCTCAAAGCAGTCCTCTGGGGGCAGAAGGGCCGTGGCACTGCTGGCAGCCTGAGGTCAACTTACTTGAAGGCACTGGGGTCTCCATGGATCTTGTAGTTGTCGGCGCTGATCTGTGAGATGACTCTGGTCACAGCGATGAGGATGCCAATGTTGACCTGCACAAGAAGCCAGGGAGGAAGCTGAGGAGGGACCGGGCTGCACCTGCAGGAGAGCGGCATCCACGTGGCCACTGCCCTCACCACAGGCTACCCCTGCCCGGCCAGGGCTCCTGGGACACAGGGTCGTCGCTGGGACAAATCTCACTCTGTTCCGTGGGCCTTTACCGACACACACAACGTGCAAGCTTGCCTCTGAGAGCTCCAGTGCTGTGAAGACGGCAGAGCCAAGTTCTAGTCCCAGGAACACATCCAGGCATGAGGGGATGAGCCTGGGCCAGACCCCATCTTAGCATCTGCTCAGTTAGCGTGACCCTGGGCAACTCACCCAGGTCCTCGGAGCCTCAGTGCCCCAGGTGATGAGAATGATGGTGCCTATTGTGCAAATGACTGCTCAAGTGCCAGGCCCCAGCCCAGCGGCTGGCTCTCATCTCCCACCCGGCCCGGACCTGTGGCTGTGTGAGCCACAGAAGCTGCGGCTCAGCGTCATCATCTCCTGCCAATGCCCCTCCTTGCTGGGAAACTGCTGGACGGCTCCCGTTGGGACCTATGTCTGGGCGGGACACTGAGGGGCCCCTGATAGAGGCTTCAGCACAACCTGCCCCTCACCTGGGCAGCTCCCTCAGTAGGAGGCTGGCGAGGCAGGCATAGCAGGGAGAAGAGTCCCCTAATGTCCTCTGGCTACAGGGTTAGGGTGAGGGTTAGCCTTCTCTCTTGTGTCTGAAAAATTCTGAGGCCGTGTACAGCGTCAGCAAGGAGCAGCTCCAGCAGAAAGTCCTCTGGGTGAACTCTCAGGCACGAACTTTCAGGCAATGAACAGGACTCTACCTGGCCGGCCTCACAGGGCAGCTGCTGTCCCTACGCCAGCCTGGGTGCAGCCAGAGCCTGGCAGTCTCTGAAGGGAGCTGCAGTCAGAGAGCAAGCCGCTGGGCCCCACACGGGATGGGCCAACCTCGTGATTGCACACATCTGCACCCCTGGACTAGGCACCCGCGCCAGGCCTTTCGGAAGCACCAGCTGAGCCTGCCTCACCCTAGGGGCCTTGAAGGCACCTTCTGTACCCAGGACTTTTCCACTGTGAGCCCTTCCCCTTCCTCCTCGGACAGCTCCCAAGCCCAGGAATCAGCAGGAGCCCTCCGCCCAGGGCTCTCTCAGCAGCAGACGGCCCTGTCTGCACAGAGGCTTCAGACCCTCCTGGTGCTGTTCTCTGGGGGAGAACAGTGCATGGTGGGACTGCCCCCTCCTGCCTAGCCCTTTAGGACACTATTGTGGCAGTGAGCACCCCAACTGTTCCCTCCTCGGCTCCTGTTTTCACTGACCACCTCAACACCTGGCAGCTCAGCTCATGCCCAGCTCAGCTGATAGTCTGATGCACCTTAGTTGCCCTTATTTTCCCATCTGTAAAGTGAGGCTAATAATAGAAGTGTCCCAAGGCCAGGGAAGAGAAAATAAGTGAACATATTAGCCACCCAGCATGGCGTCTGCACAAATAGCATGTCCAGAAACGCGGATGCCCTCCAGCCAACCTCCCTGTGTAACAACAAGCAGAAAGCGGGAGCAGCATGGATGACAGGTCAGTGGTTTTCAAATGCAGCGATGATTCCATTCAACTAGGACAGTGACAAAAGCTTAAGTGATTAATGTGCAGTTATTACTCCAAGGAGTGGGGATTTCAACTGCAGACCACTGATGGTCACTGATGTGTAAGTGTGGCCTGTGTCCTCGGGGCAGGCTGGCCTTGGCCATCTGCCTGGGAAGCACTTTTGTGCCTCCAGTGGTGGCTACAGCATCACACAGAGGGAGGGTGGAAATGAAAGTTGCCCCAAGTCAAATTGCCACAGACTCTGCTTGCTCTTCTTACTGAGATTCAGAAGTTTTTCTTGAATAAATGCTTTTGGTGTGCATGCCTTTGTTTCTAGAATTCCGAATATTTTTTCAAAACAATTCCTCCAGTTTTTTCCTTGTTTTGGGAGTGGAGATTTCCCTAGGTCCTGACTCTGCCATTCTGCAACTCACGCCCTTTCCCTTGAGGGATTTCTATTCTGCGTACCTCGCCCACTGACACAGGCAAGGGACTGTCTGTAACAAGACTGGAAACAACCTGAACGTCCACACCCAGACAGCAGGGCGGGGATGCCACGCACACCAGACAGGAGGGCAGGGCTGACAGACACACCCAGACAGCAGGGCAGGGCTGCCACGCACACACAGACAGAGAGCAGGGCAGGGCTGCCACGCACACACAGACAGAGAGCAGGGCAGGGCTGACACTCACACCCAGACAGGAGGGCGGGGCTGACACTCACACCCAGACAGCAGGGCGGGGATGCCACGCACACACAGAGAGCAGGGCAGGGCTGCCACTCGCACCCAGACAGGAGGGCGGGGCTGCCACGCACACACAGACAGAGAGCAGGGCAGGGCTGCCACTCGCACCCAGACAGGAGGGCGGGGCTGCCACGCACACACAGACAGAGAGCAGGGCAGGGCTGCCACTCGCACCCAGACAGCAGGGCAGGGCTGCCACGCACACACAGACAGAGAGCAGGGCAGGGCTGCCACTCGCACCCAGACAGGAGGGCGGGGCTTCCACTCGCACCTAGACAGCAGGGCAGGGCTGCCGCTCGCACCCAGACAGCAGGGCAGGGCTGCCGCTCGCACCCAGACAGGAGGGCGGGGCTGACTGACACACCCAGACAGCAGGGCAGGGCTGCCACGCACACACAGAGAGCAGGGCAGGGCTGACACTCACACCCAGAGAGCAGGGCGGGGCTGCCGCTTGCACCCAGACAGCAGGGCGGGGCTGACTGACACACCCAGACAGCAGGGTGGGGCTGCCACGCACACACAGAGAGCAGGGCAGGGCTTCCGCTCGCACCCAGACAGGAGGGCAGGGCTGCCACTCGCACCCAGACAGCAGGGCGGGGCTGCCGCTCGCACCCAGATAGGAGGGCGGGGCTGCCACTCACACACAGATAGGAGGGCGGGGCTGCCGTGCACACCCACTCTATGGAGCACTTTTTGGGTCTGAGACAGACTGAGGCAGCTCTTCGTCGGTGAAGAAGCCACAGCCCCCACATACACTGAAGGCCGCGATGGGGTGGGGATGTAGTTAATAGTTCCCCTATCTGCACAAACTGCCTGGATACCCATGAAACCAGCATCACGGGTTACCTGTTTGGAGGGAGGGTGGAAACCAGGGAATGTAGAAACACACATAGGCAGACACATTTATGCATAGATTCTCAAGCTTTTCCTTTCAATTTTGTGTCGCCAATTCAAAAAACAAATTCTTTAACTAAATTTTAGTTTTAAACAATTATAAATTAAAAGGAAATAATATGAAACCCATTTCCTGTGAACTGAGCAGTGTCCTTGGGGTCAGGTGGAATAGAAAGTTAGTGATGCAGTGTTGCAGTGATTCAGGGGATGGAGAAACCATGAAGCCTGGGACCCATGAGAGGGATGCCTGGAGATGCTGGAGAGGATCTCGAGCAACTTGAGTGAGTGCAGTGTTCTCATCAACCAACACCCCACCTGAGCTCAGGGTCTCATCATCACTCCTGCTTTGCCACTGGAGGCTATAAAGTGTGGTTCTGCCCCAGACCTCTCGCTGTTAAGCTGAAAGATGCACACACGACTGTTCCCAGACTTTTCTGACAAGGCCACTGAAAGGATGATCAACTTGCAGCAAAATGTTTTGCCAATGTGAAATGCTACAAGTGATTGAGATTTCAAGGCCTTTATCTTGACCGCTTTGCATAAGATCTACTATAAGTGTTTCATAACAGTTAAGCTGATCACATTATTACTTGTCAGAATTCATCATCTTTCCTTTTTCTCCAAAGATTTTGCTGGGTCTTTTTTTTTTCTTTTAATCTGGGTCAGTCTGCTTTCATTTTCCAGGCACATTTTTTCCATCTTATCAGGATGATACATTTGCTGTAGCTTCATAAGAGGAGGAGCAGCTCGCCATGGCCTCCAGTCCTGTATCAGTGCAGTGAAGTGGGGGACTGTGGCTGTGAGTGGCACAAATCTGACATTTCATGAAAATATAAAACAGAATCAGACCCTCACTCCATTTCACTCACCCTCATCCTTGCCTGGCCGTATGGTACACCCACACTCAACTATGAATCAGAAAATGCCCTGGGAGTGAGGCATATACAGTGTAGAGTACCATGGATATTCCAGCAGCCAAGCATCTCCCCATTAGAACACAGCAACAAGCCACTCAAGGCAGATAGATGTCAAAGAAACAACTCACAGGCCTCGTTGCAGAAGAAAAACAGGAATGCACATGGAGGCAGCAGAACTGTAAAGCAAAGCTCTTGTGGCTACTCTGAAGGCCAAGATCACGGTGATCTCTGGTAGGAGGACGGAGGCAGGACTGCATAGGAATCCTGGTGTTCTGTTTCTTGACTTAGCTCAGGGTCACCAGAATGTTGATTTGTGAAAAAACATTGAAATGGACACCACTATTTCACAATGAAAGGGCTATACAGGTACATACACACATATACAAATATGTAGTTTACACAACAGTGTGTGCCTCAGTCTGTTTTCTGCTACTATAACAGAATACCACAGACTGGGTAATTTATAAAGAACAGAGATTTATTTCTTACAGTTTGGGAGACTGGGAAATCCAAAGTCGAGAGGCCTGCATCTGGTAAGGGTCTTCTTGCGGCACTGTACCATAGCAGAGGTCGGAAAAGCAAGAGAGCACAGAGAGAGGGTGTTGCGGGAAGTCAGGGACCCCGAACGGAGGGACCTGCTGAAGCCGTGACAGAAGAACATAAATTGTGAAGACTTCATGGACACTTATCACTTCCCCAATCAATACTCTTTCAGTCCCGTCATCTTTGTAAGCTGAGGATGTGTGTCGCCTCAGGACCCTGTGATGATTGCGTTAACTGCACAAATTGTTCGTAAAGCATGTATGTTTGAACAATATGAAATCTGGGCATCTTGAAAAAAGAACAGGATAACAGCGATGT